CCGCGCGCATCACCGTTTCACAGGCCGAGCGCATCATGTTCGTGAAGGCAACCACGCCCGCACCCGCAAGCAGCATAGCCGCCATGCAGAAGTACTGGACGTGGCAGCCTCCCACGGGCGGGTTCACAGCAGCAATCAGGCACACCACACACAGCACCGACAGCTGGAACACGCACCAGTACACGTGGCTGCCCCTCATGTTCGTCAGCATGCCGCCGTACATCCGCTGCTGCGCCGCGGGGTGCCAATACCCGACGGGGTACAGCAGGCGCTCGTGCAGCGGCTTCCTCGAAAACTGCCAGTACCTCGTAAAACTCGCGCCCGTGTGGCGGGCAATAAAGTAGCACACACCAGCAGGGAACGCCGCACCGTACAGCACGCCAAAGACGCCGACCACGCGGTGCTGCACGCGGGCGTCGGGCATCGCCAGTGCAAGCACGGAGCCAAAGAAGATGCCGAGGCGCATCGCGTGCGCCACAACGTGCGTCAGGCTCGGGAAGCGCGTCGCAGCCCACGCACTCGCCGCGTCCACGCCGCGCCACCGCTGGAAGGCGGCCGTCACACCACAGTGCACGCACCCGAACACAGCGGCAAGCAGCGCGTTGCCCACCACCATCCACAGCGGGTCAAGGGCAGCAAACACCGACAAGAAGTACGGCAGCGCAACGGTGCTCGCACGCTCCTGCGCCGAGGCGCATGGCATCATCGCGAACACGCCGAGCGCCTGCATCTCCAGGATAGAGCCAAGCCCGCCGGTCACCACCACCGCAACAGCCGTCGCACCCGCAACGACGCCGGTGATCGCCGAGAAGGCACTGGCAGCGGCGGGCAGCGTGTTGGACCTGATCGTGAAGGACCCAAGCAGCACACCCTTGCAGCCGCCAAACACAGCCACAGCGTCGCAGCGAATGACAATCGTCTCGTCGACAGCAATGAAGTAACCGCGGTGCACGGGCACAGCCAGCTCCAGGACGGTGGACGGATTCGTCGCGCTGCGCACCCACGTCGCGTTACGCAGCATCGCTCCCCACGGACCGCCAAAACCGCTCGGCTGCGCCGTCGACACCGGCACGAAGCTCAGGTGCTTGTTGAGGGGTGTTGTGCCGGAGAGTGTTTTTTTATTCTTTGTTTGTTCTTGGATGTGGTTAGATCCTTTTTTTTTTCTTGAATTATTGTTTTCGCACGCTCTTAGTGGGTCGTATTTGCTATATTACTTTTCTTTTTTTTTAGCTTGAACGTTTCTGAGTTTTTTGTTGCCGCTTTTTTCTTTGGTACTGTTGTCTTTTGTTGTTGTTGTTGTTTATATTTGTGTGTACATGCTCATTTTTTTTTTTTTTTTCTGATTTTTTTTTTCTTTATTTAGTGTTTTTTTTGTGAGTCTTATTCGAGGATAAATGCTTCTCTCTTTCATGAAAATACCTTTGGTTTTGCTGCTTTGGTGTGCAAGTGTCTTGTTATGTGATGTCCAGAGTGCTGCATTTGTGGAAAAAAGGGGATCAGTTTTGGAAATGGTTTTCTTTATTAATATTGTGGGATGCTTGGTCCCTGGTGGAGCGTGTCTTCTTTGTAGAAGTGGTGGTTGGCGCGAGTTGTGGCAAGCAGCAATTTTATTATATGAAAGTGCCACTCTTTGGAGACTCTTTTTCGTGGTGAATTTTGTTAATGTATTGGCCACTTATTTGATGTTTTCTAGTTTTACATTTGCGGGTATGACTCATGTGTATGCTATAAAGACGACTGAGCCTCTCGTTATGTGCCTTCTTTCTACTGAAATTGTGCAAAGGGTGATCCGAGGATTCTTTGCAGATGGAAGAAACACAAAAAGCGGTTCTACTGATATTGATCCGTATCCTATGTCTACAAAAATTGTTTCCTCAAGTACATGGGTTTCGGTTTTCTTTGTGTGTATTGGCGCTTCTCTAACTTCCGGCTCTTTAAAGCGCAGTGGTGAGAGCTCTCTTGGTGCTGCCGTAATAATGTTTACATACATTCTTGTTTTTGCTAGTAATGCTGCCTTATCATTGCGAACTACATTAATGAAGCCTCTTTTGCACATAATTCCAAATGACGGCACCATTTTTCCATCTTGTTTGGTACACTTTTTTGTTCTCTTGCTGAGTTCGATTACTTTGCTAGGACCTGTTTTGGCATTTAGAGGAAGAGATATTATGGAGTATAACGCGGACATTTGGAGACAAATAGTAGTTGTGGGGATTAGTTATGGAGTGTATCAGGTTTTTAATGGCGTGGTTTTATTTCATGTTGCCCCTTTGTCCTATAGCATTTTAAAACAGGTTCGCGTTATTTTGGTTTTTTTCTTTTCGGCGTATTATTTTGGAAAGGAGTTTGATAGTGTTTTGCAACTACTTATGGGCTTAATTTTATTGTTTGCTGGAAGTTATTGTTATGTAGTGTATTAGTGGAATTTAAGAAGATCCTTTAAAATTATTATTTACAAAATGGGAGGGTGTGGAAGAATGAAGAGCTTTTCTTCCTTTATTTACCTTCCTGCTTTGATTTTCTTGCTGTTAATTTCAAACAATTTTTTTTTTTTTTTTTTTTTTTTTTTTTTTTTATGGCTTTATTGGTGCCTATTTTTTATTTTAGAACAATGGGCCAATCCAACGGTGCGAAGCATGTTGAGTTAAAAAGTAATATTATTCCCGGTTATGAGGAAAATGCACCAGAGTCTACGAATATCGAGGACCTTATTAAGGGTGGGAGGTACAAGGTTGCAACACGGGAAACCCTGGATATGATGTCAGCTATTCAAGGTCCGAAGGATGAAGGTAAGATTTATCCTGATTCCGATGTAAAGGACATTAAACAATATATTATTGAACAGGAAGGCCTCAGTGTTGGTCAGACAAAACGAAGAGCACTTTCACAGCAATGGCGCTTCTTTCTATCTTCTGAGCCTGTGCAACGTGGTTTGGATGCGGGAATTATTGCAGGCAGCTTTTCCGCCGCTATTGTTGCCCTTAAAAGTCCTAGAAACCGCGTTCCTGCCAAAATAGGACTGGTTTTCACTCTTGGATTTTGCGTGGGTATTATTGCTGTGCCGATGATGGTTATTACAGCTGATGGATATAACTCAAGGCGCATCAAGGATTTAGAAAAGGAATTGTTTCTGAAACAGCGTGAGGAATTTTATAACAAGGGAAAGACGGACGTATGAATAATTATGTTCATATTTATTTATTTAGGTTTTTTTTTTTTTTTTTTTTTTTTTTTTAATTTTTTTTTTTTTGTTTGTTTGTTTGTTTATCTGTTTTTTCTATAAAAGTGGCAGGATAAGTCGAACTGTTTTTGGAGACTGTAGTTTTTGAATATTTATTTGTTATTTATTATTTATCTATTTATTTATTTTTGGATAGCGTTTCTAAGCTGCCGGGTTTGTCGCATGGCTGCTAACTGCGAGGGATTGTCAAGCGAAAACACGGCTTTGAGAGTTGAATGTGAAGCCCAGGAAGCTGAAATAGCTCAATTAAGAAACTTTCTTCAGTTTTCGGTCACAAAACCTGATATTTACCCTGGCCAACAACGTGTTACACTTAGTAAAGGACTTAATGTCTTTCCTGAAAAAGCATGGCAGCAGCTGAGCACTGATACGCCACATGTTGATGATGCCGTCGTGATTTCTGCGCTAGAAGGGCAGCTGAATGAGAAAAATAGGCAATTGAATGCATGTCTAAAGGAAATTGCGGAGCTCAAGAGTTACCTTAAAGAAGACGCCTCAGGCCGCACAAATACACAAGACGAAAATACATCTCATCTATTGTCCCAGATTAGCTTTCTACATAATGAAGTAGAACGACTAGAGCAACAGGTGGCAACCGTTCGTGCCGATAGTACGAGGGAGGCTCATACTCTCGCTATAGAATTTAATGAGAAGCTTGGTCAGAAGGAAAAAGAGAGTCGTGCTACTACCGAAAAGTTAAGAGCTAGAAAAAAGCGGAATGTGGATGGAGAGGATCTTCTTGTCCGTTGCAAAAGCCTTGAAAATCAACTTGCTATTGCTCTGTCAGAAAAGAACTCATTGCTTGTCGAGAAAAATGAACACTGTACGACGATTCGAAAACTTGAGGCAGCTCTTAAAGAACGTAAATACGAATTTTTGGAAGTACAGAAGATGGCCTCAAATGAATGTGTGGCGAGTGGAATACAAATCAAGAGCTTACAGGAGGTCATTCAAGTTTTGTCGGACGAAAGATCAGCTCTACAAAAACAACTTGTTCAACTTCGTGGTGAATTAAACGTTGAAAAACTTCATGCTGAAATTCAGGTCGGGAAGAATTTGCTCACTGCTTCGACTCAAATGGAGCCCCTGCAGGTCGCCGAAAAGGAATGTCAGGTGAATTCCGTTTTATTTACTGCTGAATTTGAGGCACAATCTGTTCAGAGTTTGAAACATATGCTTGAACTTAAGTGTACCGAATGTGATGATTTACGGGTCCGATTCGATGCTCTTTCTTCAGCGCATCGAGAAACCCTTTCAACTCTTGAAATAACGAAAAAGTCTCTTGAAGAGGAAATTGAAGGAAGAAAGTTTCTCAGTGATGATGCGGAAAAACTATCTTTGCAAGTGCGCTCTTTGCAACAAAAGTGTAGCCAGCAGGCGTTATCTGAGAGAGAACTGCAGGCAAGAATAAACCAAATGGAGGAACAAAAACGGCAGTTGAGACTCAATTTTACGAGTATAGAAAGGGATAAAGGCGTGCTGGAAGAGCGACTGCAACAAAATGAAAAGGACATGGAACAACTGTTGGCAAATAAGAACTACTGCAACCAACAAGTTGGGCAACTTGCTCATGAAAATGAGAGGCTTCTAGCCGAAGTACAGCGTCTTCACCAGCGTGAAGTGCAACTAACATACTCTTTGAAGGCGAAGGATGGAGAGCTGCGTGAAATTCTTTCTGCGTATCAAAACGCTGTAAAGGAGGCTGAATCGCAGGTGGAAGCTCAACGATCCATAGAACGTGAATTAGAAGCTATTCGTGCAACTTTAGCATCTAAAGAACAGTGTATACTCTATCTTCAGGAACAACTAAATCAACTGCATCATAGAGACCAACAACTTTCCTTGGATTTACAGACATTTGAATACGAAAATGGACAATTGCATCGACGACTTGTACAAACAGAGGCATTAGTAACACAATTTGAAGCCAAATGTAATGATTTGCAGCAGGTTTCCTTGGCAAAGGACAAAACAACAGAGGAGTTGCAACAAAGCCTTGCCGAACTGAGCAAACAGGTTGCCTTAAAAGAGAACGAGTGCATGCTTCTTCGACACCGATCTGAATCTATTCAATATGACCTTTCACGCCTCCAATCAGTTTATGAAACTGAGTCATATCGCTTGAGAGAGTTGGAGAATACCAACGCTCGTCTTGTTGTAAGAGGTGTGATGAGTGGAGACAGTGACGACAGGTTGAACTCTTTTCGCGAAGAGTTGGAGGTTACTAAAGAAAAACTCCGTGAAAAAAGCATGGCTCTTCAAAGACTGAAGGATCAACTACAAAAAGAAAAGGAAGAGCGGATGAAATGTATTGAAGAATTGGGAGCGGTTCAAACTTCTTTGGAGGAAGCATTGCTCTCCAAGGAAAGGTTGCAACAGGTAGTTTTGGATCAGGCTGCCACTCTATCCCATTTATCTCAGTAGCATTAGTTGATTTTATTTATTTATTTTGCAATACTATTTTTTCTTCTTCTGGATTTCAGTGAATTTCTTATTGTTGTCATCGACGTATAGATACATAATGTAACTAATTTTGTTAAGAATGATACTTTGGTGAAATTTCCTCTCTCTCTCTCTCTCTCTCAAACAGCTACAACAAAAACAAAAAGACGTGCGATTCTTCAACTTCTCTTGGTGCACTTACTATTATCCACGGTTTCCGGTTAGTTGCAAATGTATGATTACATCACATTCATTCGTGCAATTTTGATATACAGTTTATCATCCGTGGGGATGATGCTGAGCAATAAACTCGCTGTGATGGCGCTCCCGCTGCCGTGTACCTTGGCATTGCTGCAGATGACAGCTACGCTTGTGCTGCTTGTTCCATTCCGCTCGCATGTGGAGGCAATGACGTTGAGGGTCGCACGCGAGTGGGCTCCCGTGGCATTGCTGTTTGCCTTCATGCTGTACACTAGCATGAAGAGCTTTGTTTATGCCAATTTGTCTACTGTGCTAACGTTCCGCAACCTCGGTTCCATTGTAACGACAGTTGCAGAATATTATTTGCTTGGCGAATTAGTAAATGCTGAGGTTATTTTTTCACAGGTTGCCATCTTTTGTGGAGCCGTGGTGTACGGCTGGGCAAACTCCACCTTCACCATGGTGGGATTAGTGTGGATACTCGCCAACGTCATTGGTCAAGGGTGCTATGGAATTCTTGTGAAGCATATGACGACGAATGTTCCGGGGTTTGCATCCGCCACCAAGTACACCTTGGCCTTGTATAATAACGCCATCGCTATCCCGATGGTTTTTTTAATTTTTCTTCAGCATGACGAAATACGGTATATTTCTCAAACGCTACCCGTCATAACCGGTTTTGATTGGTTTTGGATTGGGATTACGTGTGTCCTTGGTTTTATGATTTCAACGTCAGGATTTGGTCTTCAGAAGCTTGTTTCTGCCGCCACTTTTATTGAAGTAAACAATTTGACGAAGTTTTTCAATATTCTCATCGGTGTCATTTTTCTACATGATCCCATGGGTCTTGTTGACGGCGTTGGATGCGTCATTGCTCTTGTTGCAGGTGCCTGGTATGCCTCAGCAAAATATCGATTCAAAGATGCTCAATCAAATGTACTGCACACAAACCTGCGTGAATGCTGTGGTACATCTTTCTGTGGAAAAATGGTTCCGTGATAATTTATGATAACATGCAGGGCGATATACTCGTAATTGTTCGAATCTTTATGATTATTATTATTATTATTATTATTATTATTATTATTATTATTTTCTTGTCGGCGGCCTTGGGATAATGTTCTTGCTGTTTTTCTTTTTTTTTTTTTTATCTTGTTGTGTTATCATACTCATATATATATATATATATATATATATGTTCTTCATGTAGTTGCGGAGTCCGTTGGTGGTTATGGAGTCTATATTTTGCGTCGAACAGGTCAATGTTCCTCCTGAGCTTGGGACTATCATGAAACAATATACAAAGGCGGTTCTCCGCGATAGGCCTCAGGATCTCTACAAGTACAGTGCAAATTTTTTTGCAGCGCTTTGTGGTCAGTCTGCTCCCTTTGACAAGGATGGACATTTTGTGGAGGCGCACGAGCTCGAACCGATGGAGCACCTTGTGGACAGCGAAAAGGAAAGCGGAGAAGCCGTTGCGCCCACCCCATTGGTGGATAATGAAGGAAACGATGTTATCCGGGGTATTTTTAATGATTACGATGTCAATGGAAATGGACGATTATCTAAAGAGACTGTGCCGGCATTACTGGCGGATCTGCAACAAGCCTTGGGGCTGAATAAGTTGAAGACTATTAGAGCCGAGGAACTTTTGGGTGTGCTTCACACCGATGAGAATGGTACGGTCGATCTTTTGGAACTCCGTGAGCTGTTTTTTCGCGTTGAATGACCTTTTTGTTGAATAGGGTAAGAATAGGCGTTGCTTTCCTGCTCCGCCTTTCTATTTCTTGTATGTAATGGTGAAGATGACTAAACATCTCCTGTGGTCATAAAAACTGGCTTTGGGCATATATATATATATATATATATATTATTTATTCTATGTATTTTGTCATGTTGTTGTTATGTGACCCGAGGGTAGGGGAGTTGGAAGGATGGGTGAATAAAAGAGGGCGTTTTTTTTTGTTTGTTTTATTTTTATTTTCTGTCGTTGGCTTGCTTCTATTCTTTTCTTTTTTTCCCCCCCCTCTTTTTGGCTTTTCTACCAAAATTGGGTATCAGATAATGAGTACGAAACGTCAGGCTCCAAAAGAGAAGTTAAAGACTGTTGTCAACACTCCCGCTCAGGTGTTAAACGTCGATGTGGATTTGAGGCGATTGCATGAGGCATGTGGTTCTCTTGGAGAATACATTGTACCATTTATGAGGCGTCTTAAGATGGAACTGCAACGTGTCAAGGATGGCGAACAAGCCGATGTACCTACGGTTCCTCTTTTTGTGCATGGTGAAATTCCATATGCCGAGATAAAACAGCTTTTTTTAGATGTTCTTTCCACTTACCCATTTTTGCGGGTGATGCAGCTGCATCACTGTGCCATTGGTGATGAGGGTATTCTTACCATTGTTGATTTTATCCGATCATATAGGCCATCTCCGGATCGAAATCCGTTTGGTATACAATGCCTTGAACTTCTTGAATGTCTTATTGGACCCACTGGAGCTAAATACTTTGCTAAACTACTGAGCGAAAATGAAACGCTCACACGTTGCTTGCTTGACTTCAATCCTTTAGGTGATGCTGGTGCTGAAGCCATTGGCAAAGCAATGCTGTGGAATGGAACATTGGAGGATCTATCTTTGCAGTACTGCAACATTGGAGCCTCCGGTGCGAATGCCCTTGCGGAAGGCGTGCTGCGGTGTTCCAACGTTCGTGTTTTTTCTCTCCGGGGCAATCCAGTGGGGCCGGAGGGAATAAAAGCCATTGGGGCAGCCCTCAGTATAGGGAATCGCATTAACTCGCTTGATATTGCTGGCACCGGCTTTGGTGGGTCGTTCCCGGCGGTGGAGTCGTTTTGCCAGGGTGCTGAATGTAGCCCCTCCCTCACCTCTGTGGACATGGACTATAACTTACTGGCGCCAGAGGCTGGCTCGTTGATCGCTTCTCTTATTTCAAAAAACAAACGATTGGTTCAGTTTCGCGTGAATGAGCGTATGGAGGTGAGTGAGTTTCTCACCATACAAAATGCACTTGAGCAGAACATGAGGAATGCCAAGAAGAAGAAGAAGAAGACGAAGGCTCCCAAATCATGACCAGCTGATTTCCCGGTTTGTTCCATCGATGTACAGAGTTGGTTTATTGCATTCACCACGCACATCAAGCAAGAGAGGGGGGGGGGGGGGGGGATAGATAGAGAGACAGAGAGAGGAGTAATATATTGAAACACATTTATATACCGGTAAAAGAAAACAACAACAACCAAAGATGAAATGAAATTATGCGTCTTAGTCAATCAGCAAACAAGCAAGTAAACAAACAAACAACAACAGCCAAAAACGAGTTGTATTTGATTACACAAGGAATCACGCATCCTTCATTTGGCAGGGAACGAGGAAAATCTTTCATGCGAGTGTCGTCAAAACTGCCTTTTTTTGTGTGTGCGTGTGTGCGTGTGTGATATTGTTGCAACAATATATTTCTCCTCAATGCATCTGATTTATAGTGTTTGTGTGAAGGTAAGGAGAGACAAAGAAGCAACACACACACACAAAAGGAATAAAAGAAGAAGGGGTTTAGGCAACAAGAAGAACAACAACAACAAAAAAGTGTGTGGGAGTAAAATTTTGTTGTGATGGTGCTTGTTATCTCAGTGGTGCCAAACGAGGAGGGTCGTGCTGTAGACAGGAGGCATGAAAGGTATCAATTGTCTGCACTCAAGGGGAACATTGCGGTGTTTTACGATTCCCGGCAGGGTCCACCTGATCCCGAGGTTGCGTATTCGCTGAGCCAAGACACATCACCAGATGAGGCTCCTGCACAACCATTCTTTGTGTGTTCCTTTGATGCCATTTGGGACGCTCTGCAAGAAGACAAATCTTCGACAAAGGTTTCAGATGCGGATGTGATGGAAGTTCTGATGGCCGACGTGGGTGCGCGAGTTGCGGCACGAGAAAACGTCACGATCATCAACCGAGGGGCTCATGCACATCAATTTGTTGAAAAGATTCTTCGATCGCTTCAAAGGAGCATTGAAGAATCCGCGGAGAACGCGATGCAAGTTGTGGCCGATGAATTAGCGAAGGAGAAGCAGATGCAACGCCTTCTTCAACTGGAAAACGAAAACAACATGCAGGTTGTGAAGGAGTACGTGAAGAGTAGGAATGAGTTTACAAAACCCGCAAGGACGGCCATCAAGTTATCCGCCAAGTTATTACGAAACCTACGGCAACTTCGAAAGCGAAATTTGCACTTTCTTGTGTCTGAACAAAATGCAGCGGGGAGGTTTACCGTGTTAACAGCAGCGTATCGTGGAGAGTTGGTGCCTCCGTGCATGAAAGGCTCGTGTCTTACGCCACAGTCTTTTAAAATCACGCCACCGCCGCGAGTCCCACCCTCACCTCAAAGCTCACGCCGTCACAAGTGTTCTACACCAAGAAATTCCTACCTTGGTTCACGTATGCAGCGACGACCCACGTTGAGTACCCTCGAATTACTTGGTGAAGTGAATGAGGAGGTCGTTGTTGAGCCTCTGAAAGGAAATGGATGGGGAAAAGAAATACATTTCTATGTATTTGATGGGAAGACATCTTTATTGGGGCTTCCAGGCATACCAAAGTTTGAGAATGTCATCAAGGGATTTACAGTGGATTTCTGGTTTAGAATTGATTCGAAGGAACCGGAAAATAAACGTGTCTTTCTGCATATTATGGACGGGCAACGGGCAGACATTGGTCAATTGTTTCAAATCAGCTACAATCGCTATGATCAAATGTTTGAGGCAATTTGCATATACGTTAGGGACAGTACCAATCGAGTTTTGGAATGTTTAATGCCTCTTAAATTAGACGCCTCTTCTGAGGAAGGTGAAGAGCACTTTCACCATTTTCTCCTAAACGTACAGAGTCTGGAGGAAGGAAACCTGGAATGTTTGTTTGATGGTCAAACGACGACGCTACAGATTGTGCAGCAGGAGTATCCCGTCATTTTTAACGCATGGCCACACCGTCTGTTTGTTGGAGGATATATGGACGCATTCAACAGGCCTACATGCGTATTCCATGGAACAATTTTTGAAGTGCGCTTTGGGCTAAACACGGAAGACGGTCCCAAGACAATTGTTCGATGGCCGTTGCTTGCAGATGGGGAAAAGCTGAAGGAAGTGATGCATACGACTCCCGGAGAACATCATGAAACGTTATTAAATCTTGAAAAACAAGTGGGTTGTCCTCCACGGACCGCAGCATCTTTCGATGGAAAACTTGTGGTGACGTTGGGGCCGCTTGGGGTTCTTGGAGAACTGCTGTGCAATTGGCGTTTGGAAATCCGATTTCGGACGAATGTGAGCAATCGGACGATGAGTTTGATTGGTGTCACGGATAAGCAGTGCAGAATGCAGGAATTGGGTATTGTGATGAATGCGGAGCCCGTTTTTGGAAGAGAAAGATTTCGATTCCATGAGCATAATATCACCTTGTATCTTGTGGATGCATTTGGTGCCTGTTGCTCGGCTTTACTTCGAGGAAGTGAACATCAGAATGTAATGGATGGTCAATGGCATACATTGGTATGGAAATGTATTGATAGTGAGGCAAACACATACCGGGTAAAGATGGATGGCGTGTTGCAGGAGCTCCTGTACCTTGTACGGGAGGGACCAAGACGATTTCTTCCCTTTGTGGATTGGATATGTCTTGGTGGTCACAATACCCGAAGTTACAAGGTCCAACGGCCGTTTTATGGTGAAATTGGTCGTTTTTTTATATCTGTTCGTGGCATACCACTTGCAACATTGAACATGGACGAAGGGCCGGGGGCCTATGTGCTTCAAGATACCTCTGGCCGTTACAATCATGGGCTTTTGATTAGCCCTCTAACAAAGGCTGTTCGACGTCATGATGTTTACTGGTTCCCACACATGGAAGATATTTCTTCCGAGGGGGATGATTTTTTGGGGAAAGATCGAATCATCATTCACAAGAATAACGTGGTATCACTGGCGGCCATTGTCTTTACATGTGAATTTGCCTCTTCAGGCGTCGCACGTGAGGTGGTGTATGATGTTTTGGGGGAAACCTGCGTGGAGCCGCGGGTTGTTGAGAATCACATTTCTGATCTACGCCCCCAGTGGAAAACATGGCGGGCTCTACCGGAGAGTTGTTTTCGGACAGTAGACACTCTCGTACAGCTGGAGGAGACAATCAACAGTACACTTGCCTGTGAAAAACCGCTTGGACACTTTATGTTTGTGATTCGAATTGGTGACTGTCATGTGACTTTACTAAATTTGCACGGTCCTCTGCTCCCTTCCGACGCAACATACAATCGCAGTATTCTACGGTGGCAATACGCCTATGCCATTTCGGGCACCAAAGGTCGACGGGAAATTCTACTTAATCAAATGATTCAAGGTGTTGAGAGCATTCTTTTACGCGACACACTTACTCCTTTTGTGACCAAAAGGTTGGGCCCATTAAATGTGAATGAACAAAGTATAGTCACAGAGGACATTATTCGATCCATGCAGAATAGTGGAAAGCCATGGTTTCTCAGTGCGGTGCTGCACAACCATCTGCTTAACGCAGAGTATGGATCACACATTCATATCTTTCATCATCTTAAGGATCGCATGACGGTTGATGAGGCGGCTTCTGTTGCACTGTTTAACAGGAAATTGCTTAATGAAACAAAGAAGAAGGCGTCTCTTGTGATTCAACGGAATTGGAGGGCACGAGAGGCTCGTATAGAAGTCATGCGGCTTCGCTGTGAAAGAGAAATTCGAGAACGAAAGGTGGAGGAAATCAATTCACTGCGGATGAATCCTTTTATGAAGGCAAAGGAAACCCTTACCGCATTGCTTATTACATTGCATCAGATTGATTGTGAGGCAATCCCACCCATCACGGATGAGATTGATGAACTCTCCGAGATTTTGTCTAAACACGGATATGCGGTCACGTACTTGCCCAACGCTTCCAGGACAACACTCATGAAGGCTCTCTCGGAGTTGGATGAGGACACATCTAGCTTTGTTTACATCAGTGGATACGGTGGGTTGATGAATGTTCGCCAGCCCCCACTCATTTCTTTGCATAGCCTTTATATTTCTATTACAGAAGGCGCTGGAAGAGCGACTCTTGAAGGGGAGTGTGGGGGTGCATATCGGAGAATGATGCAGGCGTTTCGTGATGAACGCCCACCTCCCAAGGTGCGGAAGGGAAAACGTAAGACGAATAGGTCTCAACCAAGTAAAAAGGCCTTGCAAGAAGCGGAATTGGCTGCGCGGCAGAGGGATGAATTATTTCGAATGGCTATTGCAGAAATAGAAAAGGAAGAAACATTTACACGTGAGGCAACTGCGGAGGAGTATGATAAGGAGGTCTTGATGATTATTCGGGAAATTAAACTAGCCACAGAAGCCACAAATGAATATGAGCGTACATATAAGAGAGATTCTGGTGGTATGCATTTTGTTCTTCCATGTGAAGCCAGACTGATAGAGCCGTATGCAAATACGGTCTACGGTGTGGAAGAGTTAATGAACATTGCCCTTGAGCGCCAAATATCTCCCTTGGGACTTCAGCGTATTGTGGCCATCGATTTGGAGCCCATCACCCCCATTTCTTGTGGCTCTGCTTGGGTGGCTAGCAGCACGGGCTACACCTTGAAATTTCCCTACCAACCGCAGCAGCGTCGTATTATGTCGCACTTACTTTGTAAAGCATTTGATGGTCGTATGCCGTGTGTTCCGGCACATTTCAGGTACGCGGTACTAAAGGGAGGCATTGAGACAAAGTCCGATGAAAGGGATTGGAGATCCTTTGCGACATATCTGGTCTCCAAGATGCAGTCTGTGTGTAGCAAAGCGGCACTAGCTGAATTACGTGAGGAGCTGGATCGTGAAGTGCCGTTTGTTGCAGAGCTGATTCCTGTGCGGGGAATTGTTTTGGATTTGGATACCCGGGAAAGGCTGCGCCGTGAACGAGATTCAAAGGAAGTCCATGTCGTTTTGCGCTATGGCGTGGGAAGCTCCCATGTACAGCCCGATATGTTTGCTGTCTTCAAGAACGTTATCACCGTTGGCGTTCCGTTGAGGGAAATTGCGTTCAAGAACACAATTTACATTTTGTTTACACGATGCAGTAAAGGCATTGATGGTCTTTTAATGGAACCACTTTTAAAGGAAATAGAGAGTTGTCGTCCCATTGGGTGCAACGTCCCTATTAGTGTTACCACCACCGCATTAGGAGTCCGCCTCTTTTTTGATAACAAAGAACCTGAAAATAAACTGCACGTTTCCCAGTGGGCCAATGGCATTGTGGTGCGTAGTCTCTCATGGCAGCTTCCTGTGAATTCGCTGCTCGGTTACCGTATGTTAGAGGTGGACCATGTGGAGTACCTGTACGAAGTGAAAATCACCTGTTCCCTGCGTAATTTGAATCGTCTAAAGAAGCAGCAACGCCAACAGCCTGTCCCAATGCCGTATTCACGTTTTTTGGCCTGTGAGGTTCTCCCCAATCCATCGTAGAGTTAAAGAGAAACACACACACAAAGAAAGAAAATTTTTAAAGGAAAAGATAAAAAACAAAACAAAACAAAACAAAAGGAACCAGAGAGTTATGTAAAGACGTTTTCCTCTTCTTTCCAGTCTTTTTTTTTTTTTTTTTTTTTTTCCTCTTGCATGTTTATGATGTTATTATTATTATTTGTATTTTTTTACTTCTTTTTTTCATTGTATGTGTGTGTGTGTTGGAGAGGGGACGATTGATGTACAGCACAAATTGCCCTGTTTTATATCATTTCCCAAAGGGGGATTTGACAGGAGGAGGAGAGAAGGAGAGAAAACCGGGTGCGGGGACATCTCATTGGGGTTCAATGCGTTGGCAACCACATCTCGCCACGCCGTGAACTCACAATACGCATAGATGTGTATATATCCAGAAACAAAAAAAAAAAAAAAATGAAATAATCTCTTTTTCTCTCTTTCTTTCTTTTCTTTCTTTTATTTTCTGTTTTCTCTACCGTTGCTGTTATGTTATTTTTTCGTTTGCTTGAACTAAAATACACTTGTCGCTGCAAACATCCAAAAAAAAAAAAAAAAAAAAAACATGGAATTAGTTTAAGGAACCTCATTTTTCATTACAATTGGCGAGTGCCGTTGGAATATTGCGTGGGAAATGAAACTAGTGAGGAGAGCAAGGAAGAGTATTCGTGAACGGCGAATGAAGGCCTGCCTAAAGGACCTGAGCGCCAACCTTGAGAAGGTGGAGATGCGGGTCTTCAGGCAGCAGAAAAAAGAACGGGATCGTCGGCGTAAAGTGGCGGGCATTAATTGCGGCATCCCGCCGGACGTGCGGATGGGCAAGATGAATCCGGAGTTGTACCGCATCGAATGTCGGCTTCACCGCGAGGCGGGTCTGTTGCCGCCACCGCCACCGGAGGGATGCGCACAGGAATCGGGCAGCGGCGTCACACGGCGGATTGGGTTTGTGGATTTCAACACAATTGCGCAGGCAGTACTGCGGCGCAGCCAAAGCCTTTTATAGCCGTCACTCATGTCTCTTTCTCTCTCTGTCTATACGTTTGAGTGTGTGTGTGTGTGTGTGCATGTCCGTCTTTATTGCCGTCTTCTTCTTTTTCTCTATAAAAGAAGGAAGACGTCTTTTTTTTTTTTTCTTTTTTTTTTTTTTTCTTTTTTTTTTCTTTTTACTTTTTCCGCTTAGTAAATAACAAACATGCAAAACATTATATCTTTTGCCGAGGCGGCGAAGCACACGAAGGAAGACGATTTATGGTTGATTATCAACAAGAAGGTCTACGACATTACGAAGTTCGTGGACCAGCACCCAGGAGGTGTGGACACGCTCACAGGTGCGGCTGGCAAAGATGGGACGGATGATTTTAACTCCGTTGGCCACAGTGACTCCGCAAAAAAGGAAATGGAGAAATATTACATCGGCGAATTGGATCCAAATGACGCCGAGAAGCTCAAAGCGCCTTTAAGGACAAGTGCGGGCAACACAACAACCATCGCCATTGTGGTGGCACTCATCGCCCTCTGTGCGTACTTAATTTTTTTCCCCTGAGCGGACCCTGCCGTCGTAAATTCGAAAGGAAGAAGAGGAGGACGGGACGGGACGGGGGAGGGAAAAGAAAAAAGAAAAAAAAAGGACTAAAGCAATGAAAAATTAAATCTAAATTTAAATTAAAAAAAGAAAAAAAGAAAATTGAAGAGTTTTTTTTTTTTCTATTCTTCTTTTTTCTTTTCTTTTCTTTTTTTTTGACGTGCCTGGGAAAGAGGAGGAAGGAAGGAAGGGAAAAGGGGAAAAGGGGAAAAGGGGAAAAGGGGAGAAGAGAGGTGTAATTGGGGTCGAAAAGAAAACGTTTACCATTGCAGTTATGTTTGTTTGTTTCACTGTTATTTTTGTTATTATTTTTGTTGGAACAAAACCCTTTTTTTTTTTTTTTTCTTTTGTGTGTGTGTGTGCGCGCGCTTTTTATTATTATTATTAAATTTCTGTTCCATGTTAATTCAATGCACGAAAATAAAAAAAAAGAAATACATACATCTTTATAAATATATAAATAAATATTAACATAATGGTAGTGTATTTCTTACCCATACATACATACATGTACATACATACAGATATATTTATATTTATATGTAACATATTTTTTTCCTCAGTGTTTTTCTCTGTGTGTGCGTGTGTGGCCTTTCTTTCTCTCTCTGTCTCTCTCTCTCTCTCTCTCTTCTTTTTTTTTTTTTTTTTTGCGTGTGTGTGCGTCTTTGTATGTGTGAGTGTGGACTGGCAGCTGGGCAAAACGGACTTTAATTGAGGCGCAGTCCTTCACTTCCTCTTTTCACTCCGCTGAAGAAACAAACAAATCAACGAACAAATAATAAAGGAAATAGTATGAAATATATAAATATAAATGCTTAATTAGGAAGAATGTAAGGTCTGCCGTTACCTGTTTTCGTTTTCGTTTTTTTTTTTTTTTTTTCTCTGCCCTTCTCTCACCTTCCTCCTCTTTCTTGTAATAATACGTGCATTTCTTTCCGTTTGTTTGTTTGCGACGGTGGGAAAATGCATGCTGCACCAGGGCGATTTATAATTACATGCATGAATATGTTTCTCTCCATCTCTCTGCATTTTCTATAAATTACATGTTTGGTTATGCCAGTATCCCCGGCACATAGGCACGTCAACATTAATTTTTTATTGTTGTTTTTTTTTTTTGTTTTCCTTTTTGTTTCTATTTGTTTTTGTTTTTTTGTGTGTGTCTCCTCTCACGTATTAAAATTTTCACACATATACATACATACATATATATACATTGTTATAAATAGATTGTTTTATAGAGCACATTGATTAGCTCTTTAAGGGTTTTGGGGTTCGAGTTTATATATACATATATGCGTATATACATATAGACTTTTTTTTTTTTTTTTTTAATTTTTTTTAAATTTTTTAATTTTTTTCACAATGAAACAAAAGAGAGGAAAGCAAGACGTGAAAATGGTTGAATCAGCTCCTCCACAACTGCTCCCAAAAAAGGGTCGGCTTGAGATTTCTGAACTTGCTCCACAACAACGGACAATACGTACTGCGGAAGAGATTGAAATGGCATACAATGAGGCCGTTAGAAAACATCCTTTTTACGATAACGCCGATCACACGATTGATTTTCATGACGCCACTGTATTCCGTGACGCCAGAGGGGTAGTCGGGGGCGTCTTGTTACCAGGGGCGCTGCCTGCATTTGCTGCCACCATGGCAGCCGATGTGTTGCGACCTGCAGCTGTAAGGACATCTTTACGATCGAATATGTTTGGTGGGTTCGCACCTCTTAGTGGTATCGCCGGTTACTTTGACTATCGCGGATCTCCAGTGGAACTCAAATGCCGCAAGACATCCTTTACATATGAAAACGTTCATTCCTGGCCAAATGTGTTTCCGATGATTGATTACGTCAGTGCCATTTACAAAGCTGTTTTCCCGGAACGGTGGGCCGCGCAGGATGCAGCCGTGCCGGATATTGTCCGCATTCACGGATCCCCCTTTTCCACCTTGACGGTGAATCAACAGTTTCGGACCGCCTCACACACGGATGCGGGTGATTTTGATATGGGATACGGTCTTCTGGCGGTTCTGGAGGGCAAATTTGAAGGTCTCTCCCTCGCGTTGGATGACTTTGGTGTCTGCTTCCGCATGCAGCCAAGGGACGTCTTGATTTTTAACACGCACTTCTTTCATTCGAATACAGAGCCGGAGTTGAATCATCCAAAGGACGACTGGAGTCGACTAACCTGTGTTTGCTATTATAGGGCGGCGTTGGGGGAACCGGCGTGTGTTGCAGAATATGAACGACGTTTGGCGCGGGCTAAAGAAATAGGTGCCTCCCCCCCTCCTGCTGTAGATGCCATTTTACAAAAGGACAATGGCAACAATTTTAACAAACCCGCACCGACGTTCACTTATTCACTCACACCGTTTGGAGGAGCGGCGAGCATTTGCTCTCTGCATTGCTGCACCGCCAAACTCCTGCGGCTACACGAGCTACTGTTAGAAAACCCAACGTTGGAGGTTATTTTATTTGGAGAATCGCTACGAACGGACGATGGCCTGCCCAGACGTGAAAAGGAGCAACTTATTTCTGTACACCTTCCTGTGGTTGTAAAGATGTCTCCCTCCGGTGGGTTTAGTGAATTGGGAGGGGCGCTAAAGGCTGCCGAGGAGAAGCAGTACTTCTTTGAGGAAAAATACTTGGCGGATGAACTCGGTCCAGACCTCATGTCCATGTGGACGCAGAGTCGTGCTCACTGGCTGAGGCTCGTCAAGGAGGATTGGGAGCGTCTCTGTCGAAGGGATCCAGAACGGACAAAATTTACCTGGAACAATTCGTCTGCGATGAATGCGGCCTTTTTTGATCTCTGTGAGGTGGCAAAGCAGATGATGATTGGATTGCTAAACAAGGAAACACCATCATCTGCTGAGAACCACTCCTTTTGGATTCTTTTTGCGGCACATTTAAATTACGCATGCACCACTGAAAATGGCATGCCGCGTGATGCCGTTGGGATGCATAAATTGAATGTTAAGCTGAAGGATTTTCACTTTGGTGGAACTCGGTACTTGAAGGATATGCCACCTGAGGAGCAGGAGAGGCGCTTGGAAAGGAAGAAGCGTATTGAGGAGGCACGCCGTCGAGGTAACGCAGCGCGTGAAACGCACACGGATAATTGGTTGCTAAACGACACGTTTGACTACCAGCAAGAGGACAGAAAGGTGGAATTTGAGGAAAACGGCTGGATGACTCCAGAGGCGTATGTGAAGCATCTGGGTCTCAAACCATGTGGCGATGTCACGGCGGCTGCAAGTCCCACCGAACCTATTCATGTTCTTGTCGTCTTGCCAAGACCGGCGGCGGCGGCGCCAAAAGATGTCAAGCGGGATGTTCCTTTGGCTACATCTGAAGAATCCATCCGTCTTTTAATGAATCCGGCCGCGCAGCGTGTGTTGACAGGAAAGGCCCGGAATGTCACTCTTCCTTCTCCCTTGTCGTTTGGTGGTGTGAAAATCACTGTTCTTTTTGATGGGGATGATATTGACTGTATTCATCCCGATTTTGTGGTTCTGCAACATCTTCTTGCCGCCATTGAAGAGGATGAAGCGGCGAAGGCACGTGTGAAGTATTGGGCTCACGTGGCACGCTATTGCGTGTTTGTCGTGGAGACGGATGTCAGGGACCGACGTCATTTTCTCCTCCGTGAGGAAGTACGGGTCGCCTACGAGGATGTTGCCGAGGACTGCTTTAGATCCCTTCATGCGGCGGCGTACTCAACAAAATGCAATCGTTTGAGAACGACGCCTTCTCTTATCGCCCTCAGTAATAGCAAAAATATTGGGCTCCGCTTTAAGTTCAGGGGTTCACCCTTAAATACAATAGCCCTCATCGTGGTTGGGGAGCGGTTAGATTGATAAAGGAATTTCATAAACTTTCATTCATCATCAATGATCATTTCTTTTTTTTTTTTTTTTCTGTTGGTCATATTCAACATCTTTCATCACCACATGGGCGTCTTTTGAGAGGACGTGTGGAAAGGGGGACTGCGACCCAAATAAAAGTCCTTTATATGGGTAAAGCTTACATTAAATAAACGTACATTTAAAACAAACAAACGAGCAAAAAAAAAAAAAAAGGAAAAGAAAGGAAGGGAAAGGAGGCAGGACGGAAGGTGTTGTCGTGTCGGAGAACCCCTGAATGGACTCTGTTCAAAAGAATGGGTTTATAGAGAAACAGGGATTTATTTATTTATTTATTTATTTATTATGATTGCCTTTTTTTCTTTTTTTTTTTTTTTTTTTTTTTAATTGTGGAAAGGAAAAGGAGGAGGTGCCTGTGTCTGTGTTTGTGTGTGTCTGTTGTATGCATGGGACGAGGGTGCTGGGAGAATGGGAGGGAGGAGATGTTTTCTTTTTGTTTGTTTTTTTGGACAAATGCCGGTAATGTATAAGCAATGTGGCTTGTTTATGTGTGTGAGTGTGATTGCGCGGCCGTGCAAGTTATTCGATATAAATGTTTTCTTTTTGTTGTTTGTTTTTGCAGTGATATAAACGACCAACCAAAGAAGAAGAAGAACAAAAAAAAAAAACGAGATTTTTACAAAGGTTTGTTATTGCCATGCAGAATTCTCTTGACTATGCGGCCATTAAAGACATTGTTGCGAATAAGCTTCGAGGAGAACTTAAAAAAACACATTTGATTGATGTACGGGGGCGGGATGAGGTGCAGAGTACGGGTCTCATCCCGACTGCGACAAACATACCCCTGGATGAACTTGAATCGGCGTTGAAAGCTGACCATGAATCGTTTCAAAAAACTTACGCAGTCTCTAAGCCACTACAGGATGATACTCTTGTCATGTACTGTAAGAAGGGCTTAAGGGCAATGGAGGGAGAAAAACGCGCCAGACAGTGTGGATATACAAACACGGCGGTGTATCCTGGAAGCTGGGATGACTGGTCAAAGAATACAAAGGAACAAAAGGAGGAATAGTCTTTGTGGCGGCGGTGGTGATGGCGATGAGTGGGCATGGCATCATGCCATGATTCCCCTCCACTTTCTATATATTGCATTGTGACTGCTATATTACATATATATACCGAAATGGAAGGCAATTCTTCCCCTTTTATATACATATATGTGTTGGCATAAATGGTATTTCCCGCACAATTTATTTTTATTTTTATTTGTTTTGTTTTTTTTTTGTTGTTGTTATTTTTAGTTCGTTTCTTCAATTTGATAAGGTGTTTGTTTGGGTGGGGAAAGGGAGAGAGAGAGGGAAGAGGAGGGGAGAGGAGGGAGGGAAAAAAAATGTTTGGGTTGACTCGCTGGCTACGCGTGAAGATTACCGTGGAACAAGTGGCGGCAGTGGTGCAGGCAAAACTCTCTGGGGCACAGTCGGTGCAAAACACACTTCTCATTGACGTCCGCTCCACGGGTGAGGTGGCGGCCACGGGTGTCATCCCCACAGCCGTCAACGTTCCACTGAAGTTATTAGAATTTGCCCTCGGTGAAGAAGTGGAGGCGGAGGAATTTGAGAAGACATTTGGCGTACAAAAGCCCCAGCCCGGCATGACGCAAGTGATATTTTACTGTACCCACGGCGTCCGCTCCGCCATTGCCACGGAAATAGCAGGGAACTTGGGCTTCACCGATGCAAAGAACTTTGCCGGTAGTTTTACCGAATGGCAGAGACACCACGGTGAGCCTTGCGACAATCGAGACGTTCCATTAAAGTAAAAGCCGCGATGTGCCTTTATTTTATTTATTTATTTGTTATTGTTATGATTGTTTGTGTAGGAAAAAAAAAAAAAGAAGAAGAAAAGAAGGAAAAAGAATTCACTTTTTTTGTTTGTTTCCCCTTCCTTTTTTCAGTTTTACCTGCGAGTGGGAGGCACTGGGATGTTTAAAAAAAAGGGCAGAAATAGTGCGGTGCCTAAAAAGAAAAGAAAAGAAAAACAGCTTATGTTTTTTTTTTTTCCCTTTATTTCCCTCTTTACGCCTTTTATTTTTTATTTTTTATTTTTATTTTTTTTTTTTAGTTGTCTTGTGGGTTGGCCTTTGCGGCGTTGTTTCTTTTCCACCTCCTCTTTCCTCCTCCCTTTTTTTTTTCCTTTTGTTCTCTTCACTTTCCCTTTCTTTTTTTCTTTTTTATTATTATTTTATGGAATCATGTCTTCTATGCGAATTGCGCATGCTTCGCTTGGTGGTGTGTGCAAAGGGAGGGAGTGTGGAAGCCATGGGCCAGGATAATTCATTTGAGAATATTGAGCAGAAGAAGGCGCTGAGTTTATTTGAAATGGAAGCGCTTGTGAAGAGCAAAATGGAGGGGGAGAACAGTGATGTGTACATCATTGATGTCCGCGACGGGTTTGAGGTGGAGGAGTTCGGATCGATCCCATTTTCTGTGCACATCCCCTCCACGGAAGTGCGACGGGCGTTTCGATTGAAGGAGGCGGAGTTTATGGGGAACTACAAGTCACGCATGCCGCGCAAATTTGACAAAATTGTCTTTTACGACCAACGCAGCGGCCGTGCGGCAACGGCGGTGGAGGTGGTGGAGGCGATGGGGTACCAACGGGCGACATACTTCAGTGATGGATTCAGCGAGTGGAAGTTTAAAAGTGGCCGGTCAGCCGACGAGGATCTTTGACGTTGGTGAACCCTATCTTTCATTCTTTATTTATTTATTTTATTTTTTTATGATGATGTTGATGATATATTTATTTATTTATTTTTTGTCTGTGTGTGCTATCGAGTCATTATTCTTATTTGTATATATTTACATATTTGTAAAGGTAGAGGGGGGGGGAAGATGAGGATGGGGATCACTTTTGCTTTCTTGTCATTTAACCGCCTTCCTCTATGTCATTTCATCAAATATGCATACATAGCAAAGAAACTCCGTCCGTATGGCGGGGTGGGAAAACATTGGCTGGCAGCGGGTATATATATGTATATACGCAGCTTCCATTTGGGTTGTCATTTTTTTTTTATATTTTTTTTTATTTTTACTTGGCTCTTCATTCATACACGGCACTTGCATTTCCTTTTTTTTTTTTTTTTTTTTTTCGTTTGGGTTTGGAAAGGAATGCGGCACTGGACAGCATTCAGGCGGCCACTGGGGTCTGTGCAGAAGGCACCGTTTTTACAGCAGCGGCGCATGTCTTCGGAGATGCCGACTGAGCAGGAGCTGCGAAACGCGTACGCAGCGCTGGGTGTCGCCACCTCAACCCCATTCCACGATGTGAAGAAGCGGTACGTGGAGCTTGCAAAGCAACACCACCCGGATGTAAATGGTGGCAATGAACACAACGCATCCTCCCGCATGGTGAACATTAACAACGCTTACGCGACACTTAGTCGCTTTCATAAGGCAGGAGGCGTCCTGCCGAATATTTCCCAGTCATCATCCCGTGACAACGGTCAGTCGTACTACACGGCACAGGATGAGCCGTATCAACCCTGGCACGAGGACCTCAACCCGCTCATATACGAAATGATGTGGGATGAAATGCGCCGTCAGACTAATAGCGAGGCTTTTGCGCGCGCCGCTGCGGCTTCTTCTGCTGCTACTGGTGGTGGTGGCCAGGAAAGCAGACGGCGACAGAACCACCAGCAGCAACATCGCCGACAAGGGAGTGAGACGTCAAGAGATGTCCCCCCAAAGGCGCATGGAGACAACAGCCGTCGGAAACCCAAGAATGGGAATTACCGAAAGGCAACGACGTGGCCTGATGCTGACTTACAGGCAATGGTGAACATGTACCAGGATGGAAAGAGCTTTGAATTTATCGCGAATGCTTTAGGAAAGCAGACGGTTGAAGTTGTCTCCGAGTTTAACCGCTGGAGCGAGGACAAAAAGCGATCCATGCGCCCGGCGCAACGGAGACAACGAGGATACTATTACGCGGAGTCTCCTGATATTGAGTTTGCGGATTTTGATGATTTTAACGATCCCTTTGCTTACGGCATTGGGGATGAGTGTGATTACGTAGACACGGAAGACGTATTCTTTGACGGTGGAGCCATGCCTTTCTCCGGTGGACACTATATGAGCGCTCACCGTCCGCGGCGCGGTGGCGGCGGTGGTAGCGGAAGACGTGGATCGAATCATCGTCCGCGGTGACCGTTACCCGCACGTTACCGGGGCTAAATGTAGTCGTGTTAAGATAAGATACGGGTTCTGTTGTGTTTCTTCTCTCATCTCTTTTTTTTTTATTTGCTTTTTTTTTTTAATTTTTCCGGGTTTGTTGTTATTTTAATTAAATGTTTTCTTTTTTCCTTTTTTGCTTTTGCTTTTGCTGTCCTGAGTGACAGGGAAGACATCAAAACGGATGTTGAGACAAACGCCGTTTCGATTTGTGAAGGAGTTGGTTTATTTTGAGGTTTGGGAGCACTTTAAACGGTTTGGCGACGCGAGGGGTACCGACAGCGCAACGTGCCGGGTTCTGTGCGCAGATGACGTCGCGGAGCGGCTCAACGGGCGGGTGAAGATGCGATATCTGTTGGAGCAGTTTCTTGTGAAGAACACATCTACTGGAGGGGCACGTGGTGAGCAGCAGCGCTGGTGGACAGGGGACTTCTCTCGCAGCGTGAATAGTGACCGCCGTGTTGTGGCGGAGATGTTGTTGGAGGACGGATGGGTGTTGGTGCAGATTAACAACGCCGTCTCCGAGCGTGAGTGGCTTATCACGACCATGACATTTCTTCGGGAGCGGAGTTGACAGGTTAGCGAAGGGGACAGAAGGGGGCGGGGGAAGAGAAGGAGGTGGGGATTTTGACCGTATTTTATGTCTTTCATGTTGGCCGTTTTCTTTTTTTTTTTTTTTTTTTTTATTGGGTGCAGTCTTCAGGCTGTCTCTTATTTTCCTCGCTATTTTCTTTTTCTTCTTCTTATTCTTCATTATGGCTTGTTTGTGTGCTTGAGTGCTTGACCCGCTTTTATTTTGGTGCTTCCTCTCAGATGCGGCCATAACAGCCTGCAATGTGCTCTAAACATGCCCGTCGAATTCTCACGGCAGGCGGTCTTCATGTCATCTTGCACAATGACTTGAGACGACGTCGCCTTCACGCAACCTGCGTCTTTGCGTTTTTTTTTTTTTTTTTTTTTCACTCTCTCATTTGCGGCTCTTAGAGTCTTTTGATACGCTAAATGCTGAAATCTGGCTTTTATCTGCTGGGTGGCGTTGTGGGTGCCGCGAGCTCGCTGCCAGCTTTTCTCGCCGCCACCACCCGATCCATTTGGGATCCGGTCAATGCAGGCGACGTCGCTGCCGTGGGTGAGATCACTGCGTTGACAGCGCTGGAGCACATGAAGCAATCGATGATGTCGGATCGCACGGGCCGGATGATATTGCGGACTCAACCCCGTGTCACGGACGAAACGCTGGAGTTTGCCAGCCGACAACCGCCTGGTACTTTTGGGCATCGATACGCACAGTTCATGAAATTCAATCGTTTCACTCCAAACGGTCGTACGCCTGTCGCCCATGTCGCGGACCCAACACTTGCGTATGTCATGCAGCGCCAGCGCGAGACGCACGACTTTCTCCACACCTGCATTGGTTGCGGCCGCACCGTCGAGGAGGAAATTATTGTAAAACTGCTGGAATGGCGTCACACCGGCCTTCCTATTGGTCTTCTGGCTGTCATTGGGAGCTTGCCGTGGCTTAGTAGGCAACAATTACGAAACATGGAACTGTACTTCGAGTGGGCCGAAGTAAACGCACCAAATCAGCGCCATGGGGAAGTATACATTCCATATATAACCAACGTGTGGTGGGAGTCTTATCTTGACAAGCCCTATGAGCAACTTTTGGCGGATACCGGCATTACGCCAATTGATGTTTTTCTCCAGCAAAAAAAAGGTAAAGCGGCCTTAGCAAATGGCGAAGCAATTGATGGCAAGTGATACAATATACGTCATTACTTTAAATGCGTTATATATACATTTATATATAACGTATTTTTGTCGGAATTTCTTTATTTTCGTTTTTGCAGGTTTTCTTGTTTTCCTGTTTTTTTTTTTTTTTTGTTGTTGTTGTTTTGTTGTACCCTTTTCCATTTATTCTCTGTGTCTTGTAATGAATTGTTGTTGCTGTGGCGGTGCCGATGGGATGCGCTTTCTTTTTTTTTTTTTTTATTGTTTTTGTTTTTCCCCAAGACGTTATTGTCCCCTCCCCTCTCTCTCTCTCTAATTCAGAACAAATTTTAACAAATGCACCCGGAAAGACTAAAGGCGTTGCGTGAACTCTCGTCCCTTTTGAAGGAGAAGAAGGATGTGCCGCAGGAGTTGTGGGGTATGGCTGGCATGAAGGTCGGTGCACGACTGAAGGATGTAGAGAAGGAGATTGTTGCCATGAAAAAGAACGTGTCGAAGGACATTAAGTCGCAGATGATGGAGAAGCAGCAGACAATGTTGGAGGATGAGGCGAAGAGACACGGCGTCACAGTTGAGGAGCTGGTAGGGAAAACGCAGGAGGAACGTGAGTTTAACATGCAGCTGAAGAGGAACCGTGAACGCGCCCGCGACGGGGACCGCGCCAAGAAGGAGGTGCAGCGGCAGACGGACTTGGGCGAGTACGACATGGCTGTCGACTACGTGTAATTTATATTTGGACGTGCTGTTATGATAGGGCTGTCTTTCCTTCCTCTTCTCTCCTTTCTTTTTTTGTTTTTTTTTTCCGTGTCTCTCTCTGTGTCTTTTGTTTGGCTTGAGTAGAGGAGCGGTTTAAGGGCAGAAACACCGTTCTCTGCGAGGGCGGGCCTGCACACCCCCGGCGCGGCTGGTTTGCCCGCACGGGTGTGTGTGTGTGTGTGTGTGTGTGTGTGTGTGCAGACGACAGTCAAGCAAACGGTGGTGGTGTGGGGTTACAACCTGCGACTTTACATCGCCCCATTGAGGAGCGGCAGCAGCAGCAGAGAAGAGAAGAGGAAGGGAGGAAGGAAAGAGGGGTGGCCAACACACACACACACACGCATAAATACAGCAAGACACACGTGAATGAAAGTTAAGAAGAAGAAGAAGAAGAAAAAGAAGTTCCGTGAAGAGGCGATTGGAGTATTCGAACGGGAACGAGGAGGGGGGAAATTTTGAGGGGAAATAAAAATATTATTATTATTATTATTGTTATTAAACATTACATATTTAAGACTTTTAATGTCGAATACTGTCATCGCAGAAAAAATCAGTCAAACACCGACGGTTCTTGTTGTTGTTGTTGTTTTTGCATATTTTTACATATATATACATTGTTTTGGCTCATCTGCTTCGCCAGCATTTTTTCTTTTTTTTTTTTAAGCTCTCTCTCCGTGTTTTTCTTTTCTTTTTCTTTTGATTTATTTTTGTCTTTCAAGGTTTTTTTTTTTTTATTATTTTGTGAAGGGAATTTGTTGTTTATTCCCCGGTTGCGTGCCGCGTTGGTGGTGATGCAATGCTCCCGGCCTGCGCTCTCAATAGCCGCGTGGTCAGGCGGTCTGGTAGGGTTTAGTGACGCCGTGGCGCAGGCGGTGCAACGGAAGAAAAAGGTGGGGAGAGAAGGAGGAGGGAATGTGACGCCAGTGCGGTGCATGTTAGCGACACGTGCCATTTGTAGAGGAGAGAAACTTTGCGTCGTCCCAGAGTCCCATATTCTGCACGGTGAGAATGCCGCCAGGCTCTTGCAACGGGCCGCGGCAGAGCGACTCCTTTCGGATTACGTTACCACGCAACGTTGCCTGGCGAATGTGACAGGCGACACTTCTATCATCTCGACACGAGATGCGTTGCTGATCCTCCTTGCCGTACATGTTTTGAGGCAAGGTCACATGAAACATCCATTAACGCCATGGTCCGCATGCCTCCCGCCGCGAGTACCGCCAATGGGTGTATTGCTGCAGCAACGTCATCAACATCATGCGGGGACGGCGTCCTTTGAGCCACTGCAGCGACGTCTACGCATGGGAGAGCAGACGATCGTTTTGAATCCAGGCGAGGACGACACCAAAAAAGCCTCCACGGAGCTCATACTGCAGGCCGCTGAGCAGTACGGCATCGGGTGCGTCGGAAAGCCGCAGACGGAAGTGGCACCATCGCAGACTTTGATGACATCATTTTACCGAGGCACTCGTCATCCGTTGACGCGGCGGCAACACGAGGCATATGCTGCAAAACGCCGTCACGTCCTTTCTGCGGAGACACAGCAACTGTTGCAGCTAGAGGAGTCGCTCCACCGCATTGTTATCGAACCGCTTCTTCCATGTTTGTTGTCTGAGAGTAGTGAGTGCCGCAATAACGATACTGGCGATGGCACTCTTCTTCCTGAAGAATGTGATTCCGAGAAAAAAATGGCTGTGATCGAGCAACTGCGCTGGTCGCACTTTATGGTACGCTCCCGCGCGGTGAATTTGCAACTTCAACGTCACTACCAGCCTCAAATTGCGCTAGTTCCGTTTCTTGACATGCTCAATCACTCTGTGAGGGATGCCAATGTGGCGTACCAGTACCGTTCTGGCGTGGGCGTCGTTGTTGTTGCATCACGACCAATTAAGGCCACAGAAGAGTTGACAATTAATTACGGTGATTACAGGCAACGGGGCTGCCTTTTTTCCTATGCCCAGGAGCACAAAACGGGTGGGGAAGAGATCAGCGCAGCCATGCGCCGCATCGAATCGCGTCAAATGCGGGAGTGGGATGATTCCCCAAATGACGATAACGCTGACGACCTTGTGGAGGCCCCATTCGGTCATGGGATGCAGCAACAACAACACGCATCCGATGTAGACAGTAACGAAGAGGCACGGACGGAAGCAACGTGGTTGTGGCGCTTTGGTTTTTCACGCACCGACGACGAGAAGGCGTACATTGCGTCACGACTGTGGAGTAAAGGCCTGCGGCGACGCATTGCTCAGCTGACGGACGTGCGCCGGAAAGGGCGGCCTGGTGAGTTTGTCATTGGGGTGCCAGAGGGGCTGCAGCAGCTGCGCGAGCAGCGCGAAAGGCTAGAGCGGGAGCGCTTTGGCGGCGCCGCGGTGTTTCCTCCACAGAACGTGTAAATACCGCCGAGGACGAGGAAGAAAAAGAAAAAGGAATTTGTTTGACCATTTTTACATATTTCTTTTCCTTGTTGGTGTTATTATTATTATTTTCTTTTGCCCTTCCTCTATTTGTGTAGAGGCCGCGGATGCCAAAAGCGCAGGGGAAAGGAAAAAATCCATGACGGGTGTTGTTGTTTTTTTTTTTTTTATTTATTATTTGTTTTGTGTGTGTATGTGTGGCTGTATTCCATTTCTCCCTTATTTTCTTGTTTTACATTACCCGATAGACGGAGTTGGAGGCATATTTATTTTGAGATTTTAACGGGTTTGAGCGAAGAGGGGAGGAGGGTTTGGGTATTTCACGCCTTCAACGGTGGAAAAAAACAAAACAAAAAAACAACAAAATGGATTATTGGACGCGCTCATCCAACCGCAACTCGCTCGAAAGCATCGGCGTGACGTATGACGAGCGTGAAACCAGCCCGGCGGTCAATGGAAACGTTGGCGAGCGGGCCAGGCACGTTCAAGTGGCGACCCCAGACATGTCTTCGCCGCCGTTTCAATCGCGCTCCAATCAAGACCGTGACTGGAGTAGTTTTACAGACGAATTGACGACAACAGACACCACAGGCTTCACAAGCTCGTCACGACAGTTAGGCGGACTCTCTGTGCATCATCGCGATAGGAATTTGCTTGGTTTTACCTTCAGTGGAATACCCGCCGATGTTGTTTGCTTTCGTTCATGCATCTCCTATCACTCACATCGATCTAGCAAAAACTTCGTGGCGCCGGAGCAAACCGGTCCGTTTGCTGCGGATGTGCTTTGTATTATACTACTCTACATTGCGGTGGATATGCGAGAAATTCTGCAGGTGAGTCATACATGTCGTTATTGGCGGTTTTATGCAAACTATGCACCGCACTGGACGTACTACCGTCGTACTGACTGGGGGCGGCGCATCAAGGATCTGCCACGTTACATCCGTAAGGTGGTTGTGAAGCCAAAGATTGTCACGCAAGAGGAATACTTTCGCGAGCGTAGAAAAGTACAGCGGGCGCAGCGACGTGAGGAGATTATGGGCACAGCGCGACATGTGCGTTGGTGCGTCGCTATTGCTTTCCTTAGCGCAAGTGCCTGTACGACGAATTTTTTTGTGGCGTATTTATTGGGTTTTTTTCCGACGGTGCTACGCAATGATAGGAGTCTCGGCACTGTGACGTTTTTACTGATGGTGATATTGGTTGTGCTGGAGGTCACGGTTGTGATTGTTCCCCTTGGCGGTGCCACATCTGCGTCAGAGAAGCAGAACATGATGCGTCTTATTGCATGGGGGCTCTTTTTGCTTTTTACGGCGTGTTTCTTTGGGACAATTTCCTCCCTTGCCATGGCACGTGTGCAGAGCACCGGCCACGTTATTTCCGGCACGGTGCTTGATTTCACCAAGGAGACGGAGTGTGGTGTCATGGAAGCGCACTACAATCCTTCTTTTGTACTTCTTCCAACAAAAATAGCGGATATCCGTTGGCGTCCAATAACAATGGATGATACTGAACGGAAATTTATCCCGTATTGTATTTCTCACTTCAATGAAACTATTTGTTATGTCCTTCTTTATTTTGATGGATTTTACCGTTCGAATATCTTTAATAACGCCAGTGCCGTGGTGACAAAGGATATCGGTACACGTACGGCGTTGGGTTTTGATCCAATGGATAATAGTACAGATCACTGGTGTACCATTGGGAGCCGGCCGCAAGTTATTGCGCTCACAGAGTCCGTATACGCTCATGTCAGGGAGGAGGTAAATCGTTATTTCCCCGATGAGGTGTACACCAACCCCATTCTTCGCCCTCAGCAGAGAGGTAAAATTAGTTACATCTGCAGTATGGACTACGCGCGTGCGGCGACGGAAGACAGCCCGGGTTCAACGCGCATGTGGTATAAACACGCTCACCCTTGGCGGAGACATCGTATCCCACTTTCAACGGATATCACTGGACTTTCAGAAGAATTTGAGGAGACGCATGATCACTATGTACATTATGCTTTTGGTTGTTATATCATCACCTCTGTTCTTTGGGCGGTGATGTTAATTATGCAATGCTTTACAAGAGAGCAAGCACTTATGGTGTTGGGAGTTACAACCACCGTCACCCTTGCGCTAATGAACCCAATCATAATGGTATTAGCAGGTGCCCTCTGCGTGAAGGTACCGGAACGCTTTTTCATGTGTAATGCGTCTTCGGGTGGGTCATTAATAGGTGGAGGTTTGTTTATTTCTGCTGTTCTTGCTGCCCTTTATGTCTGCTTTTCCTGAGCGCAGCAGGAACAGGCAACAGTAGGAAGGGGAGAGATGTGAAGGGAAGTTCTATTTTTTTGATTTTTTTTTTTTTTTTTTTTTCAGTTGCTTGTTTATTTCTCTCTGTATTTGAAATACATCCATGTTTTTATTTTTTAGAATCATGCTTGACTTGTTTTTTCTTTTTTTTCTTCTTCCTTTTTTGAATTTGCTGTCGCGCTGAAGGTCTGATGTTCTCGCAGGATGACGTTAGTTCTTTATTTAACAATGCGTCGAGGGCTCTGCAGCGCTCCCAGCTCTTGCTGGAGGAGCGGACACGTGGAGCGCCTTTGGAGAAGCCGTCAGTGATGCCGAAGTCGCCGAGTTTTGAGGCGGCACTGCGTGCTCTGCGTAGTCTCATGGAATTTACGGCATTTCTTGATGCCTCCGAAAGGGTCGGCGAGCGGCTGAGGGAGGAGTCGCGGCAACCGTCGACTGTGATGGTGAAGGAGCGCTCCAATGGCGGCATGTGTCCCCTCCTGCGTCGAGTTGTTGACGGTCTCACAGGCGTTCAGGCGATGTGGACCGGCGATGGTGGAGCCGCGACGAGTCTGATGGCAGGAGGCGCATCGGTTACGTCGCAGTTGGTGCTCGCCGGGCTTTTTGCGGACTGGAAGCATGGCGCCTCCAGGGCGGCAGAGCAGCGCGATACGGTCCTGCAGCAGATGCTGCAACTGGACAGGGTGCCGCCGCTGGATAAACTGAGGAAGGATGACTTCTTGGAGCTGCTGAGCAGGGCCAAGGCAGGTATGCCCGAGGAAATTGCGGCCGATTTGGATGCTCAGGTTATGCGTGTTGCGTGTAGTTTAACGTGCGATTTGAACGTGCCGAAGACAACCGCACCGCTGAACGCATTGCTGTTGTTTCCAACATTAATTCCCCACATTGTACAAAACGCCCCTCCGCTACTTGCCGTTGAGTACATTCTTAATCCATTGGAACGTGCGGCGGCAGGACTGTTGCCCATATATCTCTCGGAGAGTCCTTCTGAATTTATTCAAGTATCTAGACAACTTGTGCACCACGTTGTGCTTGTGGGGATGTACGCGGCCTTTGGCCTAAAGCTCTCTTCCGCGAGTGATGTGCAGCGCGTGGCCAGATTCACAAAACGGCTTTTTGATGCGCTTCTTATGCCAGTCGAGGGTGCCTTTGCCGCTGCATTACCCCGTGCCGGTATGACGTTTGCTTTGCACCAAGGGCTTGCCGAGTCGTTATGTCGTTTGGTGCGTTCGTGGAGAAAGCAGGAGGAAGGCAAAAGGAGTGTAAATGCTACGGAAGCAACAACAGCAACAAAATTGTCATCATCAACATTGTCCGTGGCGGGCACGCAGCAATTGATGCCAGTTTGGTGTACTGCCAGTTACCGTGCTCTTTTAGTTGTGGAGACAGTCGCAAATGCGGAGCTGGGCGTTGTGACGGGTCGTGGAAACGCCGCGTCGCAGCAGAAGAAATACTATTCCATGTTGCAGCAGTCGAATGGGCGAGTCACCGCCACCATTCTCTCCACTGTTACGGAGGATAGACAATTGTTATTCGAGGAGACGACGACACGATCGGCGCAAGGACACAAGGTGTACCGCATTCATGAAGGAGGTACCGGCCCGGTTGTCTATGTGTATCTTGATAACGGCATTGTTTATATGAAAGTTGGACGTGAACGTCTATTCCGCCGAGCCAAGGGCGTTGAGGATGTTTTCAGGGTATTTCCCGACTCTTCGTCTTAACTTTACTACGCCCAAACGCATTCATAACCGCACAGGTGTGCCCAAATCTCCTGTCGCTCATTTTTCCTCCTGTTTGTTTTCCTTTTTACATACATGAATGAATGTAAACTTTGTGTTTAGGCCGATTATTATTATTATTATTTTGTGTGTGTGCTTACTATTGTGTCTTGTTTTTTTTTTTTTTTGTTGTTGTTTTCCCCCTCTTCTTTTTTAATTTTTTTTTTTTTTTTTTATGTCTTGGGCCTTATCGTTAGTGAGAAGGTGAGAGAGAGGAGAGAGACTTTTTGGGGGTGGGGAAGAAAAAGAAACACATGGTTCTCCCCAATGTAATGAAGGAGGCGATGAGAAAAGGGGAAGAGGAAGCGGCGCAGTTCTTTCCAACGCTGCTTTCCTCATCGATTCTGCAAGAGCCTTTTGTGCAGGAAATTATTCAGGAGAACGAGGCGATGCTTGGGGAAATTGCTCGCCTCCGTTGTCTCCGCCAAGGCCACGCAAAAGAGCGTTGTCAACATATGCAAACCGCGGAAACGGCGGCGCGGCAGCTGCTGGCGACATCGGAGGCGGAGGTGCGTTTTGAACTGTGTGTGGCGTGGCACGCATGTATTATCGGTGGGCTGCGTGACACGTTAGAGGAGTTAGAGGCGGTTCGGGAGGAAAATACCGCACTTCAGAAGGTCATGTTGAAAGTGCAGGAGGAACTCGGGGCGTTGGAGTCACATTCGACTCCCGTTTCGTCTGAGGAAGACATAACACCGGCGCGTGTTATTACAGCTATAGATCCAGGGTGTAAATTACATGCGCACTATATCGTTTCTCCTAATATTAGAGCTAATTACCACTCACCACGTGTGTCATTTGGTCCGTCACGGAAGCGTGGGCGCAGCAGTGGTGATAGCTGGCACTTCTCTCCGTCGGAAAAAACGATAGAGAAGCGTGGTGTAAGCCAGCAACCCACATAACTACTTTTCAGGGCTATAAATATGTATATTACATAGATGCACATAAGTATTTGGTCCAATGATTTGTAGAGCATAATGGAAAGGGATAAAAAAAGGAGGTGTGTGTGTGTATGGGTGGGATGACGGTGATATATTGTTGTGCCACTAGCCCTTCCCCCTCTCCCCTTTTTTTTTTTTCTCTCTCTCTCTCTTTTCTCTTTTATCCACAAATACACAGTACATTCCACTTTTATTTTATTTATTTATTTTTTTTTTTCTTCTTCTTCTTCTTTTGTTGAATATTATTCTGCCTCACAGTTGCAAGAAACACGCGTGTATACATCTTAAAAGGAAGGGAAGTAATTAAATTTTGGTTTATTTATTTATTTATTTATTTATTGTGTGTGTGTGTGTGTGTGTCGATTGGAGGAAAGGAGGACTGTGGAAATGATGCGGAAGCGAATCATGCCACGCCAGCGACGGCGGAATTGCTTGTTATGGATGATAGTTGCCCTCGTCTTGTATTCAAGTGTTTTCCTTTTGGCCATGTCTTTGCAACGGGAAGCAAATGCAAAGGCGCAGCAAAAGGCTCGGAAAAATTCCGCGCCTTTCCTCAATGGAGAAAATGTGAGGCCAATGAAGAAACAAATTCTCCATCCCACGCCGAAATCATTTTTTCCTTCCAAGAGAGATAATTGGTTGGGTTCGGCGTTAAGTCGGACGTATGAGAGCTCAAAGGGGGAGTCGTCGTCTGTTGTTAGCGTGTTTCTCACTCGCCTGTACAACTCGGAGTTGGTGAATAAAAGTGCCGGTCGCATGGCACCGCCGCAGTTACTCGTGTACCACAATCAGACTAACACCCGCAGCGGGGCAGAGGTCCGCTACTTTAACCGCATTGTTAGTTTAGACAATGTGGCCCTGCGGAGGGCAACGCAGGAAAACCCTGTGGATGAGATACTGCTGTTGGTTTTTAACGACTGGGACCACAACGTGGACAAATTCATTTCCGAGTTGCACCGTTTGTCGACGCTCTTAAACCCTTTGGAGGAGAGCGTTGAAGACGACATCCCAGACGCTATGATTAATTCTTTAAAAGAAGAACCTGTGGACCCTACGACGCTTGTTTCGCCTCGTCCAGATGCCTTTGGAAGCGCATTATATCTGGATGAAATAAGGGGAATAAAAAAGGATGAAGACTTTGCAGGGGAATGGAGCAGCAGTTTTTTATTTCTTTGGCCGAAATCAACGTCATCGTCCGAGCCGTCACAAGTCATTGCCGCGATACGGCGGGCAGATTTTGACGGCTCAGATTTCCTTGGCGTTAAGACGTTTGGTTTGGTGCTTCATTCACCCGGCCTCTTTTTTTGTTCAAAAGGCATGTCGCATGTTGTGAGGTACAATGGCCCCGCAAGCATGAATGAGATGTCTAACTTTATCACCGTCAACACCCTTTCACATCTGCAGCTGAAATCCGCGTATGAGTTACGCTCCGTGCTTTGGCGTTTTGATGCCTTAACCCTTATTGTATGTAAGGGAGAAGGGAGCAAGGAGAAGGTTTCCACATCGCCTTTGCGAGATATTTTATTCAACAACGAGTTACCGACCCGTTTTGGGCTGAGGGCCGTGCTGCCAACTTTTTTTCTGCAGGTGGAGGAGTTTGAAGGATTTGATGGGTTTAATTGGGAAGAACTGAACGTTGTCTCTTCGCAACGGATGGAACCGAAGAGTCTGCAATTTATGAAATCCCTTTACATGAATGAGTTTCCAGGAGATTTTATTAAAAAACTTGAATTGTTGCCTACTTCAAACAACACACGACTCATTGTTCTTAAGAGAGATGAACTGACATCTGAAGGAAAGCGAGGAGCGAGTCTTGCGGATTTCTCTGCACGTGTTCTTTTTTTTCCCGGTCCCAGTAAGAAGACAGACCATGTCATGTGGGCAAAAACCGTTGGGGCGCGATTAATTGATTTTGTGGAGAATAATGCGATGAAACGGTTTGTACCTGTACGAGTTAATGGAAAGAATCTTCAGGAACTCTATGAGCAACACTTCCATGTCTCATTGATGGACCGGGCGGCACGGACGCGAACTCAACCCCTCTCCAAGGAAGGTGACTTCAAAACTACCGGGCCGTCGAATTCGAATTTAAAGGAATATAAATCGCAACTTTTAGTTCTTGTCTTATTGCCTCCAACCAAAATGAATGGAGGCATTACCTGTGAACAGGCTGTTTTTCATGCCGCACATCTTAGCTCTCAACAAGATGGCATTCAGTTTGCAACCGTCAGTGCCGATGATTCACCCGATTTGGTGGAGGAACTGCGGTTTTCCGTGTGGCGTCACTCCAATTTGGCAGCAGCGGCCTTTTGTGAGGTTTATGTGTTTCACCCTGACAGTAAAGTAGATGCGATGGATTTGAACCCGGATGAACTTCATTCACCCAAGGAAGGCTGGTTAAATCTCTTCCTCCGTGAAAAACAAGAGAAGAAGAAGAAGGAGAAGAAGAAGAATCATGATGATGATGATGAGACGGCGGTTGTGTCACACCCTTCACCGGATGAGTTTCTGACGGCGTTGGTGGAATTTCGAAAGCACCTTCAAGAGGCGTCAAACCCAAGTATACACTCCGAATTCCGTACATCTCTTTACGGGAATAGGGGCGGTTTTGCTCCGTGGTTCTTGTGGTTGCCTCCACTCGAGACGGTTCCGCTTCTCGTTCATGTCCAGAAACAACATCAACTGGAGGAGAAGCAAGAACCAACGAAGGAAAATGGTGCCATGGCTGGAAAATCAAATGTGACACTGTTGCTGCTGCATGATACCTCATGTGGAATGACTGTAAATCATTTGAAAGCATTTCGGTTGCTTGCAAAATGTCTTGAATCACAATCCGAGCCTGTTGTGCTGGATTTGGTGGAGTACGACCTCTCGGATGGGTTCCTTATACCGGACAGAGACGGCCAGCGACTGCGCTCGAGTATTACCCAGAAGTACCATACGCGTTACTCGGAAGTTTATTCGCAACTTAAGCCATTTATGGACGATTTTAAGCGTCTGCAGCCCCCACAATTGGTTGCACTAAACAAAACATCCGTTTTAACAACTTTTGGTAGCTCCTTTTACCATAATACCACCAGTGTTCTGATGCAGAAGAATGTGCATAAAAGTTATATTCAAACTCTTCTTCGTCTTGCGGGTCACGCAGATCCAAAGTTGAAATCTAAATCTCTTCTCAAATGTATGCAACAAACCCTTCTACTGGAGTCACGACGACGGAGTCGATATCGCGTTCAGTAGTCATTTGGACTTATGGAAATTCGGAAATCCTTTACGTTTACCCACACACGTGTAATATACGTATATATATATACACGCTTAGATATACAGTCGGCACGGTAGAGAATAAAATTGAGGGATTGGCAAAAATAATAATAATAATAATAATAATATTTTATACCATGTATAATAATAAACCCAATAGGGGAGATCAACAAAGAAGGAGAAGAGGAAGAGGAAGAAAAAGAAGAAGAAGAAAAAAAAAATGTATGGAAAATTGACGCGTCCGTACGGAGTTTTTTGTTTGTTTGTTTGTTTGTTTGTTTCTTCCATGTTTTATGTGTTGGCCAAAACTGTAATGTAACCATCCATCCATCCATCCATCCATCCATCCATCCATCCATCCATCCATATATGTATGTATATATTACCTAAATGGCATGCATGTTGGTTTATAAACGGGAAAAGAACAAAAACAACAACAAGAGCAGAAAGAAAGAAAGAAGGAAATAGTGGGAAAAGAAAAAGAAAAAGATAAAAAATATAAAAAAAAAACCGAAAACTTTTTACTTTTGAAGGGGCATCAAAATGAATGGAAAAATCTCTTGACTAGAAACATGTACTTCTCTCTCTCTCTCTCTCTCTCTCTCTCTCAGTCTGAGCCCTGTGTTTCTCAAAGGGTAAACAAGTGTGGTGATGAATTATATGCCTGTAAATATAAATATGCATCACTGGTTTGAAAGAAAAGAAATGAAATAAAACAACAACCCCGCATGACTGCCGTTTCCAAGTAGGGGAAATGAAATGTGTGCATGTTTTTGTGTGGACTGTGGACAGGGGGGACTTTCTGCTTTGGGTGGTGTGGCTTTGGGCCTGGGAGTGAGGGCCGTGTGACGTCATTGACGGCCATCCATAATTTTATTTCTTAAGAGACTTCTCTTTCTCTCTCTCTCTCTCTTTGTCTCTCTCTGTGTGTGCTTAAAGAAGCCGATTTACCATGCCCCATTCCCAGCATAAAAGAAAAGAAAGGGAAAAGAAAAAAGAAAAGGAAAAAATGATACATGACTTATGTAAAGTGCTGGTGATTGCGGTATTGGCGGAAAAGGTGAGAGAATTTGTTGTGGATTTTCAAAAGGAAAATAAAAAGGGGAATGTTTTTGTTGTTGTTTGTTCATTCTTTTTTTTTTTTTTTTTTTTTTTTGCTTCTTTTTATTCCGTTTTGCATCCTTATTGTTTCAGTTACGCAACTTGGAAGCCTGAAATGAACTGCGTGCAAAGGCACTTTTAAGAAAGTTTGGACCCTTTTGAAGTCTCGTCTTCCTTTTTTTTTTTTTTTTTTTTTGTTTATTTTCTTTTCTTCCCTTCCTTTCTTTCTTCCTTTCTTGTTTTTTTTTTTTTTTTCTTCTCCCATTCCTTTTGCCTCTTGTTTTTTTTTTTTTTTTTTTTTTCTCATTCCTTTTGACCCCTTTTTTTTTTTTTTCAATTGATCTCAGTTGGAAACAAAACCCGAAAAAAGGAAAAGGAAAGGGAAAAGGAATGGGGCAAGAGACATTAGAGGCGGGTGCAGTGGAGTGGGACGTGAACTCGCCACCGGACTCGCCGTTCATCACGGACCCCGCCATGGCAGAGAGGCTCCCAATCCCGGCGGAGTACGTAAGGCGCATGGAGGAGGCACAACGTCTGTTTGCGCTACACGACAGCGAGCAGCAGGCGTTGGCCTACGCATATAGGCGGGCCACGTGGATGGTGGGGTTCCAGTGTGGCTGGCTCGGCATTGGCGGCTGGCTGACGGTGCGTGGATACAGGTACGCCGATCCCGTCCAGTCGTTTGTGAGTGGATTCACGTCAAATCGCATTATACGCCGCCTCTTTACTCCATTAGCAATGTTGGGGCTAACCATTACGGCCCTGACGGGCATGCAGCTGCCGTTTGACGTGCGTGCGATGCTTGTGGCAGGGAATGCGTGGCGACTGGAGGAGGCGCAGAAGGCGGATGCATTGAAGGAGCGTTCGATGGCGTTTCATGAGGGCAAGGCAATATTTGACCGGTTGAAAGAGGAAGAACGCCAAGCATTTGAGGTTGGGATGGAAGAAACAAAGAACTCACCAAAGTGACCGGTGGTGTAGTTTTCTTCTTTTTTTGTTTTTTTTTTAGTTATTGTTTTTTTTCTTGTATTTTTTTCTGCCTATTCATTGTTCTTAAACCTCGAACGGCGGAGGGAGAAGAAGAGGAGGAGGGGGATTGGGAGGGTGCGGGGTTCTGTTGGTGCCTCTCGCGCGGCGTGCGGTGCATATAATTTTCTCTCTGTTGTTCCGTGTCTCTGACGATGGCACGCATGCACACAAAAGGCGGTGCCGGGAATATGTCACGCATAATCACCGGTGGCGTTCTACCCCATTACATTGCACCACCTCATACGTAGGTGCATGCACACACACACACGCACAGACACATGCTGCTGTGTGGGGCTGTTTCTTATTATTATCATTTATTTATTTATTACTTTTGATAAACGTTTTATTATTATTATTTTAGAGTGCACCAAAAGGAAAAAAAAAAAAAAAAAACTATTCTGGGAAAGCGAGGGCGAAAAAAAAAGGGGAGTCACAGGGTTTATAGGGCAAATTGCGTTGCGCAGTTATTAGCAATGTCACATGCGAATTCCACAGTAGTAGCGATAATTCTTATTTTGGGGCTTTTGTTGCTTGCCGGCACGTCGGATGGGCAACGGATGTCGTTACCGCGAGAAACATATCCGCGTCCTGCGAAGGACGGGGTCAATCCCGCCGCGATGTTTCTCCGCTGGGCGCAACTTATAAATTCCTTCGTGGAGGCGCTTCTTAACGCAGCGGGGCCGTCGACCGTCGCTGATAAATTAAAACGCAACGCACCGACAGATATGGAGGGTTCAGAGCTAAGGGCGATTTCGATCTCGCCCAACTATTTAAAAGCACCCCAGAATGGAGAGGTGAAGAGGGCCGTCGACCCCGACGACGGATTGAGGTATTTACTGCCGCCAAAAAGAACATTACCGCCTCACTCGTGCTGGTCTGGCTACCTGGCGGTTCCCACCACCACCATCTTTAATTGCAGCGGCGAAAGCAAAACAGCTGACGAGTACAGTAATCTGAATGATTATCCACGGGCAGGATGCCAACACGATGA